GGGGTGACGGGACCCTGCACCCCCTGGGGCAGTGCTGGGTCAGGGATTTTGGGGGGCTCAGCCCCTGCCCACGGTGTGTTTTTCCCTCCAAACTTCTAACTCTTGCCTCAATCCTTCCTTCACAGCAGCCCAACACAGGAATTCCCTCCCTTGTTTGCCAAGAGGTAGGTCGTGGAGCCTCGGGAAGCGCTGCTGGGGTGGCTCATGTGGATATTCCAGGCTACTGATAAATGCTGGGAGAGCAGATCCCCGGGTGTTTCAAAGCAGAGGAAGGACAATTCCCTTAAAAAGCAGGCTTGGGGTTGGATCACATGGGGTTTGTGAGATAAACACTGGGAAAACCACTCTGATGGTGCTTCTGGTTAAGGGCAATGTGAGCCACGGAGAGACTTTCTGCTTCCAGGGAATCTGACTCTGGCCAGCCAGGGAATGCTCTTCAGGCATTCCACTTCCAAAGCTGTCAGTGGAGTAGGGAAATGCCTCTCTCTGGAATTCGAGCCCTCAGATGATGCTGTTTGTAAAATTGTTACTGCCCTGGCTCCGTTCAGCTCAGCGGGAGGAGCAGGAACAACCTGTCCTGGGAGGAACAGGGCAAACCCAGCTCCAGGGAAAACGGGAGCACGCTGCCTGCAGGAGCTAGGGAAAGTGGGAAAACTGTGGTATTTGTCTCTCTTTTTCCCCGTGGAAAGAGTTGAGATAGAAGAGGAGGAAGGACAGCAGAGGAGGAGCCCAAGCGTGCCGGGTTCCCGCCGGTTCTCCCCGGATGACAGCAGGTATTTGCTCAGCCTGGGTTCCAGGGGTGCCAGGGCACACTGGTTCGGGGATAACTGCATTCACCTGCAAGGCAGCAGCTGCCTGAGCACGACCAGAGATGGAGGGTTTGCAAAGGAGGCTTCCCAGAGAAGCTGTGGCTGCCCCATCCCTGGGGTGGCCAGGTTGGAGCAACCTGGGCCAGTGGGAGATGTCCCTGCCCGTGGCAGGGGGTGGGATGAGGTGCTGAAGGGTCTCCATCAACCCAAAGCATTCTGTGATCCCATGATTCTGAAATCCTGATTGGCCTTTCCTGAGGAGGGAATCCAAAGGGAATCATGGCCTCAGCTCTCTTGGGGCAGCCAAAGGGGCAGGGCGGTGTCACAAAGTGCCAAGCGACGGCCCTGGGGGTGGCAAAGGGCCCTGGGTGCCAACTTTAACATCTCACTGCCACGTTAAGGCCTCTCAGGGAGTCAAAGGAGCAGAACCTGGCACTGAGCCCCTTCCCTGATCTCCCTCCCCAGCCCCCTTAGTCCTGTCTCCACCAGGAGCTTGAGGGAAGACAATCCCAGGAGGAGTCAGAGCAACCCTCCCCCAGCCCTGAGCCAGCAAAGGTTTTCCCTTCCTGCCCAGCTTGGCTGTGTGAACTGCCCCCCCCCCCACCTCACCTGCATCCCAAATACTCCATATCCTGGTATTCCCACCCCCTGAGCCAGCTCTGCTCTCTCAGACCTGAGATTTAATTATTCTGCTGGGATGGGGGTGAGCAGAGGGGGGACTATGGGAGGTTCATCGTCTCTGATCTTGGCTTTGAGGGCAGGTGTTGGCCTCAGTCCCTCTCCCAGGGCCAATGGACAACCTGGAATGTTCCTGCCACGGAATGCCAGACCTGGGGGGCGGCAGGGCCACCCCCCTCAGCCCACACTGGGCAGGAGCAGCTGGCACAGGCTGGGGGGCTGAGGCAAGGCTGGGAAGCAGTTTCCCTCCCTCTCTCACATCACTCAGTTTTGGGGAATTTTGAGCTTTAATCTGTGCATTTTGTGGAGGGTTTTGTTGTGCAAAGGCACGGGTTGGGCATAGGAAGAGCTGCAGTTTTGGTAAAGGGGAAAAATCAGTTTGTAAAACTGATCTTATTCGGTTTTACAGGTTTTTTTTTTTTCCAGGGTATTTGAGCAGAAAGGCAGGTGTGAGTCCCAGCAGTGGCACATGGACACCCTGGGGAGGTCTTGCCCAAAGAGACACAAGAGCTGTGGGTCAGAAAGCAGGACCCCCACGGGGGGAAAAAGCTCCTAGAAATCACTTGTCTTTAATGCTTTGTTGTTTGGGGTTTTTGTCAGTGCTAATGGGCTAAGAAAAAACACCCCTGGATCTTCCTGGGATGAGCCAAAGGCAGCAGCAGCCTCTCCCTCCAGGTAAGTGCAGCACAGCCGGGATTTCTGGGATAATTTCGGGGGCTGTAGGTTGGGGAGTTCCCCTCTGGGAGGGGAAATGACCCAAATCTGTCAGCCTTGAACACGGGAGACCTTTTCCTACATGCAGAGAGCTGCTTTAAAAAGGTTTTATGTCTAAAATCCACGTCGTGCCCTCCGAGGATTTTGCGACCTCCCGATAGAAAAGCTCAGGACGTGAAAGGAAAACTTTGCCCGTTCCCAGAAGGGACTCTTGGAGCAGGACACTTTTGGGCAGCTGCAGTGGGAGCTGCCTGGCTCAGGAGTGACATCTTTGTTCTTTCCTTTCTCTTGCAGCCCCACAACGGAGGGTAGGAGCCAAACATCCCCCTCCTTGAGGGAATCCCCAGGGAGAAGCTCCCCTCCTGCTGGGATCAGGTGGGTCCCCTGAGGGTGGAAAGGGACGTTTGGCTCTGCTTGGGGAGGGGGTTTTTCCTGGAGACACATCCAGGACACAGCAGCAGAGGGAACTGAGGAGGGGAACACTTCCCAAAAGCATCAGCAATCCGGGAGGAAACATTCCCACGGCTTGGGCATCTCCTGGTTCTCTGTGCTGAGGAAATGAGCCCAAAGCTGCAGCTCTTTGAATCTGCTCTTACTTACCCTCAGTCCCTGCCCCTCATCCCCCTCCCTCACTGTGCCTGCTGTTTCCCTTGCAGGAATGGGGAGGACAGCCAGGTCCTGAACGGGAAATCCTCCTGGGAAGCCGTGGCACAGCGTGGGGACGGGTAAGGAGCGGGGAGGGGCTGCTCTGTGCTGCTCAGCACGAGGGCTTTGCTCAGGAATAGCATCCACCTGCTCCTGGTGTCCCGGAGACGGGACCCCTCCAGCCTGGGCTGCATTCCAAGAGCATCATCTGCTGGCTGAGCTGCAGCTTGCCAGTGTTCTCCACCCTTCCTTCAGCTCCCTGCAGGATCCTGCTCCCTGCCTCCATCCCTCAACACTCTTGTTCATGCATTTAAGTTTTATTGTCCTGCTCCAGTTGCCGTTCCCTGGGGAGTTTTTCTACCTGCAAGGGATGTGTTGACCCTCAGTGGCTGGTGGCTCGTGCTGATGTGGGGTCTGGACCTCTGTAGGAAATCTGGAGGGGGTGGGAGAGTGTGGAAGGCTCTGTTGTGTGGAGGAAAACCTGAGGAACAAGGAACTGGTTGGGAATTTAAAGGCTGGAGGAGGTTCCTAAAGGACAGGTGACACAGGGAATTGGAAGCTGAGGGCAGGTTCTGGCCCTCCTGAGAGTGAGGGATCTGCCTCTCCTTGGTGCTGTGCAATGCACTCAGGAGAATTCCAGAGAGGCTGGAGACTGTTGGCTCCCTATCCCTGGAATTGTCCAAAGGCCAGGGGTGGCCAAGGCTTGGAGCAACTTGGACTGGTGGAAGGTGTCCCTGCCCATGGGATGGAACAGGATGGGCTTTAAGGTCCCTCCCAACCCATCCCAGTCTGGGATTCTGTGGTTTCGGGATACCCCCCATTTTGGCAGGGCTCCCTTTGTCCCAGGGTGAGCCCTCTGGGTTTGGGGCTGGTCCGGAGTGGAGCAGGCAGAGCTGCCCCTGTGGTGCTCCAGGAGCTGGGAGAGGTCACCAGAGGACTCTGTGCAGCACACACAGTTCATCACAGCTCACTCTGCACCTCCAGCAGGGACAGCCCAGCTGGAAACGTCCCCAGAGTGCCATCCCAGGCTGGAGCAAAGTCTGGAGCGCTCCAGGAAAGGTGGAGGCCGGGCTGCTGTCGTGGGCATTGAGCTGAGAGCCACAGACGTGTCCCTGGGTGTCCCTGCAGGAGCAGCCCCACCACAAGGCCCTCTTTGTGCCTGCCTGGGGTCACTGGGGGCACAGAGCTGCTCCTGACTGGAGCCAGGCTCCCAGGGGAATTGTGGATGCCTTATTACTGAAACCACCTCCAACTGCAGAGGGAGGACTTGGCAGGGAAGGGAGGACATGGACACACAGCAGGACGGGGCTGGAGAGGGAAAGGTGGGAATAGGGTCAGGCTGGGGGAGCCCTGGAGAAGAGAAGGCTCCAGAGAGACCTGAGACCCCTTTCCAGGGCCTAAAGGGGCTCCAGGAGAGCTGGAGAGAGACTGGGGACAAGGAATGGAGGGACAGGACACAGGGAATGGCTTCCCAGTGCCAGAGGGTTAGATGGGATATTGGGAAGGAATTGCTGGCTGGGAGGGTGGGGAGGGGCTGGACTGGATTTCCCAGAGAAGCTGTGGCTGCCCCTGGATCCCTGGAAGTGTCCAAGGCCAGGTTAGAGGGGGATTGGAGCACCCTGGTCTAGTGGGAGGTGTCCCTGCCCATGGCAGGGGTTGGAGCAAGATGTGCTTTAAGGTCCTCCCAAGCCAAACCATTCCACGCTCCATAAGTTGCAGTCAGGCCCTCTGTGCTCAGATGGTTGACCCTCCTATCCTGATACACAGATTTAACCCCATTTTGGGCTCCTCCCAACTAAACACCAGCACATTATCCTGGAATGATCCAATAGAAATGCTGACAGGGCACGTTTTCACTGGCATTTCCCCTTTTCTAGTGACAAAGCTCTGAAGGAAAAGCCTGAGCCCTTCCCGTGGGATGAGACCCACAGAGCCACCGTGGTTTCCACCAATGGAAGGTAAAGTCCCCGTGAGATGTTGTGCAAATCAGCAACTGCTGCTCTGGAGCTGTCTGGAATCTCTGACTGGATATTTGCTGGTGGAAAAACACATTCAATGTGGGCTCTGCAGAACTGGCAGCAGTTTCTCTAAATTTCATTTAAGGGAGGGAATAAAGAAAACACTGGCCTCTTCAATCGAATTGGGGGGTATTTTGTTCCTTTTAACTTTCTGTAATACAAAAAAAAAAATCCGGGTTTATTCCCTAAGGTAACCCAGTTGTGGAATGGAGTTTGTTTCTGTGTTTAGCAGGACAGAGAGGTTCACACTCAATGCCTCTCTCAGCCTCCAACCTCCACCTCTTGATTTGCTTTTGCAACAGGAGACCCCTTAAAAAAAAAAAAAAACAAACCAACAACCAAACCCAAAAGGAAACTGTAAAGTGGCAAAGCAAAAGGTTCAGTGCTGAGGAATTGTGTCCTGACTCTGAGAGATTTGAGGAAATGGTTAAAGATCCCATGATCCCAAGAAGTGCTGTTGTGTCCAGATGCCAAATGAATTCCAGCATCACCCTCTGCTTGTCCATGGGGGGTGTGAGCACCACCTGAGCTCCAGGGCCTGGCCTGCTTTTCCCGTGGGTGTTTCTGGGCAGGTAACAAGCTGAGATCCAGGGGATCTCCTGGGCTCCAGCCCAGCCCACACTTCCCTCTCAGAAAACTGGGGGTCAGTGGGGTCTGGAACCCCTGGGAGACTGAGAGACGTCCCGAGCGCTGAATTCCCACAAGTTCGTTGCCGTTTTCCCTGTGGACATGGACAGCCCCGGGAAGTTTAGGGATTCCCTCCTTTCTTTTATGAGATCCATAGGAAAATCATTGCACAGCATTCCCCAAAGCTGCTTTCCTGAAGTTGTGTCTCTCCTCTGCAGTTTCCCTGAGCGCTCAGAAGCCAGCAATGGGTTTTACCCACCGAAGTAAGTGTCCAAAAAATGTACAATTCACCTTTTCTCCTTGATTTTAACATGAGGAGGGTCTTCTCCTGACCCAGCACTGACAAACGTCAGGGCACTAAAGAGGGGTGGGCCTGACCCACCCCCTCAAATTGGGCTGAGATCCTCCAGCTGCTTTCCTGACACGGGGAGGGATTGGTTGGATTTGTGGCTCAGCCCTTCAGGAAATTCCTTGAGCTGAGCAGGAAGAAAAGATGTTACATTGGAGACAGGAAAAATCTCCTGTTTGGTATTTTTTGCTTCTTGCTCTGCTCTCCAACTTGCTGAGCTTCCTACTGGGACCCACCAGTCTCCCTCTCTTGCAGGTCCAGCTCTGATTCCAGGGACAGGCCTGTGGATGCTGCAGACAAGCTGCTCCATCGCTACGAGCCCTCTCCTGCCCTGGATGTTGGAAGGTCTGACCCTGCACCATCAGAGCCTGGGGATGGCACTGGATCTGCTCCCAGAGGGAAGCTGGGGTGGGAATAAATAACTTGTCCAGGGTAGAGTTGGGAGCAGAATCCACACTGGGCAACAAAGCAACTGGAAATTGGAAATCCCGTGTGGATAAACAGCGGGAACAGTGTCTTCCTCTTTGCTGTTACACAACTTCTTCCCAGAGAAGCAGCCTGGGAATTCTGGAAGGATTCCTTCATGGAAAGGGGCTGCCCAGGGAGGTTTGGAGTCCCCAGCCCTGGAGGTGTCCAGGGAAGGCCTGGGGATGGGGCACAGGGGGGGGGGACTGGATGATCCTGGAGGGCTTTTCCAACCCCGGTGATCCTGGGATTCTGGGAGCAGATTCAGCAGCTTTAGCATTGCTTTTAGCACTGATCTCAAAGGGGTGTCTGTCCCACAGGATTCTGGAGCGTTTCCTGCCCTGCCACTGTCAGGGGCAGGACAGAGTTGCTGCTGTTGTCAGCAAACACTGATTTCCCTGGAGCTGCTTTTCTCACTCACCTGTTATTTTGGGGTTTGACTCCAGGGGTTGGCTCTTCAAAGCTCTTGAGCTGAGGTGATTGGAAGGACAGGGCTTGGAGCAACCTGGGCTGGTGGAAGGTGTCCCTGCCCGTGGCAGGGGGTGGCACTGGATGAGCTTTAAGGCCTCTCCCAACCCAAAGCAGTCCCTCATTCCCTGTTCCACCAACAGCCTCTCTTCTTCTGGATTAGGGAGAGTGAAAATGGGGCTTTCTGAAGGAAAATCAGTTCTCTTGAGACAGTTCCTTTCTGTTTGCTGGGCTGCTACAACTGCAGTGTTGTGATTCCATACAAGCCCCCTCTTGAAGCCTTTGGAAAGCTGTCAAGCTGGAAATTCCTTTTTTTTTTTTTTGGACAGGTCCAGCTTGCAGCCTGATGTCCCTTTTCCTCCCACTGAGAGAGCCCCTGTGCACAGAGAGGATGTGGAATATTCCTTTAAAAGGTAGGAGTGGGGTGAATTCTGGGAGTTTATGAGGAATACTGAGGATTGAGGGGAAACTGGAATGGGCAGGCACGGAAAGAGGCTCCTTCTCCCAGCTTTTGTCCCAAAGATGGAGGCAACTGAGGTTTAAATCCCTCTTCATCTCCTATGACGTGAGCCAAACCCCCCAGATTTTTCCTCCTCTAGGTGGGGTTCAGTCAGTGCCTTTTTATTCCCTGATAATCCCGTGGAATGTTTCAGGGATGCTGGAGTGGCAGCAGAGAGGGAAAGCAGCTGGAATATTTGGAAATGCAAGTGTTGTAATGGAAATGAGGTCCCGGTGCAGATTGGCACAAGCCCTGCCCGGGGAGCAGAGGATCCTCCAGTGCCAGTTTATCCTCCAGAGCCAGTTTTTAGGGGTGTGACCTGGGCCTTTCTGGTTGTCAAGGTCTGTCCTGGGATATGAGGAGAGGAGCAGCTCCACGAGTCCTGAGGGCCCAGCACAGCTCCAGCCCCACTGGAATGAGTAAGGACTGGGCTGACTGGGGTGTCTGCTCTCTTGGGATGTTGGGAATAGCTCTGGCCTGATGGCTCCTGTCCTGGGAATGGGTGTCACCCACACCCCAGCAGGGATTTTCTCCACTGCTTTAATCATGGATCTTTATTTTAGTTTTTCAGGCTCAAGCAGCCTCACTGAGAGGGACCAGGGACCTCCTGGCCATGGTGCCCACCCAGAGCTGCCCAGGGCACAGGAACCCACTGCCCATGAGCCCAGCGTGGTTGGGTAAGGAATTGGATAACCCCCCCTACCTTTTCCTGTAGGATGGGGGTTCGTTCCTTGTGTGTCTTCCCCCATATGCACATGCTCACAAAATCCTCTCCCAGGCTCCTCTTTTAAAAATCTTCTCCCAGGCTCCTCTTTTAAAAATCCTCTCCCAGGCTCCTCTTTTCACGGAATCATGGAATGGTTATGGTTGAAAAAAACCTCTGAGGTCACCAAGTGCAACCATCAACCAGCAGCACCACCCTGGTCACCAACCCATGGCCTCAAGAGCCACATCCACCCATTTTCTGAGCGCTCCCAGGGATGGGGACTCCACCACTGCCCTGGGCAAACCCCTTCCAGTGCTTCACAACCCTTCCCAGGAAGAAATTTCTTTGCTTTTGTCCTTATTTTTCCCCCTAAATTTGAAAGAGTTGAGGCTTTTGGTCAAATTGGGCTTGTCTCAGTGAGCAGCATCTTCACCTCAGGGTGTAGAGCAGAGCGTTCCTCTCTCTCCCCAGGTCCCAGGACAGCACTGGTGGCAGCAGGGACACGGACAAGGGGATGGCATTCCACGTGCAGAGCGAAGAATTCACGGAGAGAAGGCAAGGGAATTAATAATGGGGTTTGCTTTTCCTGGCAGGAGGACATGGGGGATTTACTGCAGGGGGTTCTGGAGGAGGGACTGAGGGTGCTGTGGTTGGAGCTTGGGAGTCCCCAGGCTGGGAGGAGGGAGCTGAGGACCCAAACTTTGGATGATCTGGGGACATGGTTCGTGGTGAACACGGTGGTGGGGCTGAGCTGAGGGTGGGACTTGATGATCTTGGAGGGCTTTTCCAATCTGATGCCATGATTCCACCTGGCACGTTCCCATGGAGGGATGCTGCACTTCCCTTGAGGCTGCACCGACATCCCACGGGAATTCTGGGCACAGTGGTGCTTCTGCAGGCTCTGAAGGGTCTCCTGTCTTGGCAGGTCCAGCTCTGGGCCTGGAGGAAGCAGCATCCCTGCTCCAGAGACCCCACGTGCCGACGAGCCCGAGCCGTGCCGGGACAGGTGGGGAGTCACCATTCCCTCCCACCCCCCTGGGGTTGATGGTTGATGGTTGCACTGCAGGGGTTTCACACAGGAATTGTTGCAGCTGAACATGAGAAGGATGTGGAGATACTGGAGAGAATCCAGAGGAATCCATGGAGATGCTGCCAGGGCTGGAGCTCCTCTGCTCTGGAGCCAGGCTGGGACAGCTGGAGGGGGTTCCTCTGGAGAAGAGAAGGCTCCAGAGAGACCTGAGAGCCCCTTCCAGTGCCTGAAAGGGCTCCAAGAGAGCTGGAGAGGGACTGGGGACAAGGCATGGAGGGACAGGACACAGGGAATGGCTTCCCAGTGCCAGAGGGTTAGATGGAATATTGGGAAGGAATTCCTGGCTGTGAGGGTGGGGAGGTGCTGGAATGGGTTTCTCAGAGAAGCTGGGGCTGCCCCTGGATCCCTGGAAGTGTCTAAGGCCAGGTTGGACGGGGCTTGGAGCACCCTGGGCTAGTGGGAGGTGTCCCTGCCCGTGGCAGGGGGTGGAACTGGATGATCTTTGAGGTCCCTTCCAACCCAAACCATTCTGGAATTTTAGGATTCCATAACCATGGTGTCCCTGCATTTCTTCCCTCAGGGAACAGGCTCAGGTTCTGGGTCTGATACAGCTCTTTCCTCCCCTTCCAGGATCACTCCAGGCTACGAGGATCAAACCATCCCCACCACAGATGGTCCCCAGGACTGGAGGCACAGTGAGCCTGGCCCAGGGGCAGGCAGGTACAGTGGGAATATCCCTTTGTTTCTGCCATCAGTGGCTCCCAAACCATCGTTCTTTGCCATTCCCTCTCCTTGATACCCACCTGGCTGAAGTCCTGGCCCCCATAAATTTGCCTAATCCAGTGATATTCACCAAAGGAATATGGGAAGGAGTTGCTGGCTGTGAGGGTGGGCAGGCCCTGGATCCCTGCAAGTGTCCAAGGCCAGGCTGGAGCGACCTGGGCTAGTGGAAGGTGTCCCTGGTGGAATGGGATGAGCTTTTAAAGTCCCTCCCAACCCAAACTCTTTTGGGATTCTGTGTTTCTCTTAACAAAACGGTGTCCCAAATTCTCCTTCCTGCCTGTAGGAAGAGGCAGGATCCAGCCTTGGCCAACCCTGAGCCCCTGGGTGAGGGGGGCAGAGCACAGACGCTCACTGGCTTTGTGGTCAAATTGCTTTTAATCCTTCAGCAGGTCTGACTTCAGCTGCAGAGAGAGTGTTCTCAGTGCCCACGAGAGCCAGCACCCTGTGCCCCTGTCCCAGGACCCCCAGCCCTTCTTTGGGACAGCTCCCAGCCACAGGATTCCTGCCTACGTGGACAGCCAAGTGCTGAGCACCAGGAGGTGAGGATTTGGGGAGGGAGGGTTTGGGGATGGAAGGTTTAAGATGCAGAGACAGGGAAAGGTGCTGGCCTGGAATGGTCTGACACAAACTCTGCTCTGGGTTGTGTGGTCAAGGGATGAGAACAGGATTTTGTTCCCAGAGGGAGCAACGGTGTTAAATCATCCTGGAATCCCAATCACAGGCTTGTGCACCTGGGACAAGCATGAGGAGGTTTGGGGAAGACGTTTCCTACCTCACCAGCGGCAGCTCTAGGTCTTGGGATTTACAGCCTCCTGGGAGCCTTGAGATCCTCCTCAAGTCGGATGGGAGGGTTGGAGACAACATTTCCCAGGACCAGGGAATCATGGAATGCTTTGGCCTGGAAACTTTAAAGCTCATCCAGTCCCATCACCCCTGCCATGGGCAGGGACACCTTCCACTATCCCAGGTTGCTCCAACCTGGCCTTGGACACTTCCAGGGATCCAGGGGCAGCCACAGCTTCTCTGGGCAACCTGTGCCAGGGCCTGCCCACCCTCACAAAGGGGAATTCCTTCCCAATATCCCATCTAATCCTGCCCTCACATGACCATCAGCCACAGGCTCATTTTCCCTGTGGAAGGAGCCTGAGCTGTGTCCATGGGTTAAAGCCATTCCTCTAAGGATTTCTGGCTTGGAAAAGGAAAATGGGCAGGGCTGGCAGCAGGATACACGTGGAGGGGGTGGAGTGGGAGGGAAACAATCTTGGATATATCCATTGGATATGTCCTAACGCTCAGGGGTTGGGTTTGGGGGGGCTGCTCTCCTGGGTGTGGAATGTGGTGTGTGGCAGGTGTGGAACACACACACAGGGGGAATGCACCATGGAATCATGGAATCCCTAGGGTTGGAAAAGACCTCTGAGATCATCAACAGCCAGAGCCACGGTGGGCTCTGCTGGGTGGGGATTCCAGGGACCACAACGTGCTCAGGGCACGTTCAGAGCCTGAGACTGCACCACTTCCTTCCTCTAGCCATGAGTCCATTCCCAGAGATCCCACCGTGTCCATGGCCCAGAGAAGCCACAGAGTGCCCTTCTACATGGACAGCCTGAACTATAACAGCACCAGGTAAATGGGCAGTCGTGGTGCTTGGGAGGGAAACTTCCAGGAAAGGTGGGGAGGAGAAGCCAGGAAGCAAAGCCAAGAGCTGAGAGAGAGAGAAATGCTTTCCAGGGAGTGGAAGCCATTCCAGAGGCACAGACCTACTCTTAAACCACTCCTAGCAAAAGCTGTCCAGCACAGGGTCCGGGATACATCCATCTCTGATCTCCAGAGGTTTCCCACCACGTGGGATGCCAGAGAAGAGAGGCAGGAGAAGGGAGAGCTGGTCCCTGGCCAAGAATTGGCTTCTGCTGCAGGAAAAAAGGGCTCAGTGGGAAGAGAGATGTTGAGAGGCAAGACCAGTGACCCCAGAAAGCCAAAGATGAGATGACTGAACTGCTCCCAGAACAGGGCTGTTGGCAGGGCAGGAGCTATCCAGTATGGAATACCATTCCCCTGGGCTTCCTGCAGTCCCTCCTGGCAGTGCCAGCCCACCCACGTGTATGGGGCCACCGTGGGGCTGAGTGTTGGATCTGGACTGGGGACTATGTTGTGGGTGTGAAGAGGAGGCACAGGATCCCTGGATAGCCTTGGAATGGCTCCAGGAAAGAGCAGCCTCCTCCCTGCAAGGCAAACAGGTCTCATGGCTGAGCTGTTTTCCATAGTTCTGCCACCTTTTCCAAGGACTGAGCTGGGGACAGTGATGTTGGCTTTGGCCACCAGGGCCCAGCTTCCCCTCTCCTGCAGCACATCCCATGCTGTTTCCCTCCGGAGCTGCCTGACTCACTTGGAGCCCATCCTCCCTGGGAGATCTTTGATCTCTTCTCCCGTGGCCCTATAAATGAGACTTTTCCAAATCCCTTCTCCAGGGAAGCAGAAAAGGAGCTGGTTTGGTCCCACCTGTAACATCCAAGTGCCCTCCCAGCAGCAGTGGTAGCTCCTCTCCTGCCAGCTGGTGGCTCACAGAGTTTCCCTCTCCCTCCAGGCTCCTCTCCAGTTCCAGTGAGAGGCTCTCCGGGTTCCATCCTGACTCCAGCACTGCCGGGTAAAGGGCCAGGGGGGCACAGAACCATCCTGGGAGGGGGGGACATCCCAGTGCCCATCCCTCTGCTGGCACTGCTGGGGCATCTCCAGCTCTGGGGGCAGTTCTGGGCCTCTCATAAGAAGGACATGGAGGGGCTGGAGGTGTCCAGGGAAGGATCTGGAGCAGCAGGAGCAGCTGAGGGAGCTGGGGGGGGCTCAGCCTGGAGAAAAGGAGGCTCAGGGGGGACCTTCTGGCTCTGCAACTCCCTGACAGGAGGGGAGAGCCGGGGAGGGGTCAGGCTCTGCTCCCAGGGAACAAGGGACAGAATGAGTGGGAACAGCCTCAAGTTGCACCAGCAGAGGTTTAGGTTGGATATCAGGGAAAATTTCGTCATGGAAAGGGCTGCCCAACCCTGGCACAGCTGCCCAGGGCAGTGGTGGAGCCTCCATCCCTTGGAAATGTTCAGAAAATATGTGGATGTGGCACCTGGGAATGTGGGTGAGTGGTGACCGTGGTGGTGCTGATGGTTGGACTCGGTGATCTTAAAGGTCTTTTCCAACCTTAACAGTTCTGGGATTCTATCTAAAGTTATTCCATAGCTCAGACCCAGCTCCCCATCGATATTCCACATTAGAATTGGAGATGAAAGTGTCTTAAGGAAGGAAGAGGGTGGGGAGGTCCTGGAATGGATTTCCCAGAGAAGCTGTGGCTGCCCCATCCCTGGAAAAGTCCAGGTTGGACAAGGCTTGGAGCAACCTGAGCTAGTGGAAGGTGTCCCTGCCTATGGGATGGAATAAGATGAGTTTTAAGGTCCTTTTAGATGATTTTTTCCAACCCAAACCATTCTGGGATTCGTGTTTCTATGACACAGAAAGTGTCTTTTCTCAATTAAAAAAAAAAAAAAAAGGGGGGGGGGGGAAGGGAGCTTTTCTTTCCTCAGCTGTGCCAGGGCTTAGTTCGCTCGTATAAGAAGGGAGAATTAATTGTAGCTTTGAGGCAGCAGTGAAAATGCCCCGTGGAGAGAGAGCCCGATTAGTCCGTGCCGTGGTTGCTGGACAGGCGGAGCTGGGGGGCACAGGGCAGAGCTCAGCCCGGGCACACGCGGGGGGCATGGAATTCTGACCCCGGGAGTGGCGAGAGGCAGGGATATGAATATGCAAAGAGAGCCAAACCATCCCCAGACAAACCAGCGCTGGCTGAAAACAGCGGGGATGTTCCAGAGGCAGAACAGCCCCGGGAAGCAGCGCCGTGCCAGCTCTCTCGGTGCTCATTGTGTGCATAATCCTAGGGAAGACTTTATCCCGGCAAAACCGGCGGATAACCGGATGAAAGGGTTACATTCTGCATCCCATTCTTCCTAATTAACTTGATTTGTTTTGGTGGGGTAATTAGAGGAGCGCATTAGGTGTTCTTTAGCCGCAGTGCTTGCTCTCCGGGAATTATCCCAGGACAACAGCGGCTTGTCCCGCTGTCCCGGCACACACACACGTGGTCCCTCGGCAGCTCCGCTCTTTTCTCATGCAAATGCTTCCCGTTCTGGTTCCTTAGGAGAGGGATCCTCTTTGTGAAGGAGTACGTGAACACCGGCGGGTTTTCAGCCTCCCCGCGCTACGGAAGGTACGAGGAGTGGCCGGGAGGACACTCGTGTGTCGCACACACGTGTCACACACATGTGTCACGCACACGTGTGCGCGGCCCAGCACGTGGCTTTGCCAGCTCTCACCTCCCAGCCGGCTCCAGGGGCTGGAGCGCTCGCAGTTCCTGAGTTAATTAACCCTGAGGGGATGACTGGGGGAGCAGAGTTTTGCTGGGGGAGGACCAGTTGCGATCCCGTTGTGAGATCTCATCCCGCTGTCCCACCGCTCCCAGCGGTCAGGGAAGCTCCCCTTGGAGCGAGTTGGTCTCTGAGGTGGATGCAAGCACCCCCCTGCAGGTTTTTAGGCTGTATTTGGCCACCGTGAGGCTTCGCTGGGCACCTGAACACATAAACAAACGATGGGAATTGGTGAGCAAAATGTGGAGATTGGGAGTTCTCGCTCCAAAAAAAAAATTATTTATGAGTTTAAAAAAGTTAAAATAGTCCATTTTCAAGCTTAAATCTTCAGTCTTTTGTGTTCTGCTCGAAGGTAACTGAGCGAAGCTGCCCCGGGCTGGCTCCGGGGTTTGGCCCCATGTAAATCATCCTGCCGGTGATGTGGTACCAGTTAACTCCAGTTTGATGCCTCCCTGCTGGCACTGATCCTCCCTCAGCGCTGTGCTGGCATTCCTGGGGCAGCTGATGACAGCCTGGAGATCTCCAGCCTGGCCTGGAGCTCCGCAAAGGCGCTGTCAGCAGCCCAAGAGAAGCCAAAGATCGGGGAAAGCCAGGCGGGGAGGGAACACTCGGCTGGGTGAGACTGGGGATGTGCTCCCTGCCTTTTCCTGCAGAACAGGGTGGGATTTGGGAGTTCAGTGAGCAGTGAAAACAGGTCCTGTTTCCAGGGGCCAGATGGAAACATCCAGAGCAGTGTTGCTGGTGAGTGTTTTGGAGGCAGGATTTCACAGGTTTGCTGGTCCAGCCACCAGTGCAGGATTTTGCCAGTGGAAAATATGTTGGAAAAATATGCTCCCCCTCTTTTTTTTCCCTGCTCCCAGCCCACCTAATCCTGCCTTTTCTGTTGTTTTAATGAGATAACCTGGCTGGCAAGGGGTGGGAGCATGGGGTTGGGAATATACTGGAGAAGGGAGAGAGCAGAGGGAACTTGCACTGCCCAGGGTTTTGGTTCTTCTCAGCCCCTTCCTGAGCTGCATTTCCCAGCTCCTGGAGTGGGATCCCCATCACAGGCTGCCTGAGCCCCTAACCAGCCCTGATGGAAAGGGCCACACTGACCAATGGAGCAGGGAAAGAAAGTGCTTCCCCCTGCTCCCTCCCTTCCTCCAGGATGTTCCCAGTATCCCTTAGAGGTGCTGAGTCGTAATTAAAGGTGATGAAATGTCCTTCCTTGTGTCCTGTGCTGACCCTCTGGGAAGGAAAAGTGCTGGGATATTCCAGATCCCTGGGTTCATGATTAATGATTCCAGCTGAGATTCTCTTCCCGGATTTTCTCCGTCTCCAGTGGCAGCCTTATGGATCTGACTGATGTGGACAGAGGCAGCTACAGCCACCACAGTTACCTGGCCAGTGCTCCCCTGCACAGGTAGGACAGGTTGGGGCTGCCTTGGGGGGCTCAGCAAACCCTGACCCAGAAATGACCTGAAGGGTTTGCTTTTTGAGGATATTGGGGGGTGGGAAGGGGGGTTGGTGAAACAGCAGCATTGCAGGGATCTTTGGAAAAGACAAGGACATTCACTTGAAGTCAGAGGGGCCAGAGGAGGCCAGGAAGGTGATCAGAGGGATGGACCGCTCTGCTGGGAGGAAAGGCTGGGATTGTTCAGCCTGGAGAAGAGAAGCTTTGGGGTCACCTAACTGTGGCCTTCCAGTACCAGAAGGGAGCCTGCAAGAAAGATGGAGAGGCTATTTACAAGGGCCTGGAGTAACAGGTCACAGGGAATGGCTTCAAACTGACAGAGAGTAGGTTTAGATTGGATATTAGGAGGAAGTTCTTTGCTATGAGGATGGGGAGGCCCTGGCACAGGTTGCTCAGAGAAGCTGTGATGCCCCATCCCTGGAAGTGTCCAAGGACAGGTTGGACGGGGCTTGGAGCAACCTGGGCTTGTGGAAGGTGTCCCTGCCCATGGCAGGGGGGTGGAAGGAGATGAGCCTTAAGGTCCCTCCCAACCCAAACCACTCTGTGATTCCAAGATCAGTCCTGCCCTGCTGGTGTGGTCTCTGCCCCCCTGGGACAGCACATGTCCCTCTGTACTGCCACTTGACACACGTGGGAGCAGGTTGCTCACAGGGGTTGGTAAAAGCCTCTGGCACCAGTGCTGGGACTGGAAGCAGCTGGTGTTGCAGATGAATCCATCCCTCTGTCCTCCCCAGGTCCAGTGACCCCGTGTGCAGTTACTGCAGCCGCGAGATCCGAGACTGCCCCAAGATCATCATAGAGCACCTGAACATCCACTGCCATGAGTACTGCTTCAGGGTAAACCTCTCTGCTGCTTCCCTGAGCTGCTGGGAATGGAGGGGGAGGGAAGATCTTGGGGCAAATTCCATCCTCAGGCTGGCAGGGCGATGGATCCGGCGCGTGTGCCGAGTCCTTGCGTGGCGTCGGGACAAACAAAGCCTCAGGTGTTGGTTGTGACCCCAGAAGTTTCTCAGGTGCTGAAATAAATCTGTATTACAACAAGGAGGATTTTTTATCATTAGCAGCACCCTCAGGACACCCTCTTGTCCCTGTCCCTGGGGCAGACTTGCTGCTTGGTGGCCTCTGTGCCCCAGCAAAGGGCTGACTGAAGCCTCAGAGCTTGCAGAGTTTACCAGCAAAGCCTGTGGGGATGGGGAGGGGGGGAGGAGGGATGGGGAGGGTGGGAGGAGGGATGGGGAGGGTGGGAGGAGGAGGGATATGGGGAGGGTGGGAGGAGGGATGGGGAGGGTGGGAGGAGAAGGCCTCCCCAGGGCCATTTGGCTGTTCAGCCTCAAAAGTCACACCCTCACCCCCTTATAAACCGAGGCAGAGATTGTTTCCTCCCTGCTGTCATTACTGTGTGGGGCTTTGGTTGCTGTCCAACTTCCTTGTTTTCCCTTTGGCAGTGTGGAATTTGCCACAAAGCAATGGGAGATCTTCTGGATAAAATATTCATCCACCGGGACATCGTCCACTGTGACAAGTGCTACGAGAAACTCTTCTAGGTGAGTTTGCAGTGCCCTTTTTCTGGGGCCAGCAGGGTGTGAGAGCTCAGAGCTCCCTGACTGAAGGGCATTATTTAAACCCTGGGAGATCCACGCTGGGATTTTCCTGTGGCCCTTCAGTAGGAAGCAGGGACCTTTTTGCAGAATTGGAGCTGGTTCTGGGGGGGGGGGGTCTTAGTTGGAGCCAGAATCTTGGTGACAAACAACTTGCCGGGGGTGACAGGCAGGGGTTGGCTCGAGTGGTGACAGAAATGTCCCTCGGAGGCAGAGAGTCCCCTTGGGAGGTGATGAAAGGTCCCTCCCTGTGTCCTGGGCTGACCTGCTGTGGGTGGTTGGGAGCTGTAACATTCCTCTGACAAGGAGCAGCACTTGGGTGGCAGGCACAGCTACTCCTTTGTGTAAAGATCCTTTGAGAGGAAAACCTTTGGGAGAGCTGGAGTTGGACACTCTGCCAGGAGATCAGAGGGCTGGACGTGGTTTGGTTTTGTCTGATTAGATGGAAGGGGCAGGAGGCACCACAGCAGCTCCTGCACTGGGGGGTGGAGGCCTCCTGTCCTCCTGCTGCTGAGAGGAGGAGGAGGAGGAGGGAGGAGGGAAAGGGGCTCCTGCCTCACTGCTCCCTGTTCCTTGTAATGTGATGTGACTGGTGAGGCCATCCCTGCTCCACTGACCTCCATTCACCCTGCTCCATGTGCTCACCTGCTCCTTCTCTGCTTCCAGGGTTCTGCAGCGCTGGGAAGGCTCTGGAATAGAGCTGGCAGCTCCTGACTGGCCAAGACAGCAGAATTCCTGCTCCTGCTTTCCTGCAGTTCTTTCCCCTCTCGCTGCCCCCTGGCCATGAGTGAGTTCAGCACCCTGTCACCGTCACCTGCATGGAGACAATGATGGCAACGAGGCAAGGCAGCCTCATCCTCAAAGACCGGGCTTTCCAGAGGTGCTGGGAGTCAGACACAGCTCCTCAGGTTTATGGGAGCTCATTGCCACAAGCCTTTTTGGGTTCTCTTTTTCCTTCTTTCCCACGTGCAGCTGGGCTGTGGGAGCTGCCACATGGGCAACTGGGAGCCTTCAACACTAAATTTGGATTCTTGGGAAGGGTTTGAATTTAGTTCTTAGCAAAAGCCTTTGCTGTTTCTGCTGCTTCCCCCCCTGCCACCAAATTCAGCCTAGGAATAGCTTCTGCCTGATTTCCATTTGCTTTCCATGGGATTCCAGGAGCACTGGCAGACTGGCTGTACTCTTAATTGTGTGTCAGCTTTAATTCCTCTTCTGCCTCCTCTCCAGTGCTGCCTGTTTGGGAAGATAACACTGTCTCCTTTTTAACCCAACTCTGAGGGCAGGAGTCTCACGTGCCAGAGAAGGGGCATCTCCATTCCCTCCCCCAAAAAGAGCTCCACTAAAATCCTAGTGTCCCCCTCCAAGGCTTTGCCCAGTGCCCCTCATTGCTGTGAATTATTTACAGCACAAATGCTCACTCACAGAATCGAACTAAATTCCACTCCCAGAAATCAGAATTGTATCATTTTAGCTCTGAATTCAGAGGTTGGGAATGCTGCATGCCAAATCCTGGAAGTCAGCTTCTGTGTCTTAAAAGCATCCAGACTTACTCTGTTCTCATGGGAAGCATCAGGAATCAATCCCAGAATGGTTTGGGTGGGAAGGGACCTTAAAGCCCAGCCTGTTCCACCCCCTGCCAGTGGCAGGGACACCTCCCACTAGACCAGGTGGACACCAGACCTGGCCTTGGACACTTCCAGGGATCCAGGGGCAGCCACAGCTTCTCTGGGCAACCTGTGCCAGGGCCTGCCCACCCTCCCAGGGAAGAATGTATGAAAACCATGTCCAGAAGTTCCTTACTGGGGCCATTTCCAGCCGTGGGGAAGGACTTTTACAGCCCCTGCTCCACCAGGGTCAGGGGGGATCATTTCAAGTACCAAAGCAGAAGATAAGCTGCAGAAATAATGTATTCCCGGAGCTCCTGGATGGTTCTGGCGTTCCTGATGGCCTTCCAAGGAGCAGGATTTGTCCATGTTCTGCAGTCTGCCCCCAGCTCTGTGTCTCCCTTAGGAACTGTCTCCCCTCAGCACTCAGCTCTAATAAACAGCCTCAGCTCACGTGTCCCTCCTTCCCCTGTGTCTGGTGTCACATCTCCTGCCAGTGCCCTCGCAGCTCAGGGGCCGTGTCATTTGTGCTCCTTGGTGGCCCATCCACGAAGCCACCCCAGGCTCTGCTGGAGGATGAGGCAATGAGGGAGAGGAGCAGCAGGACGGCCTCAAAGCTGGGCTGGGCTCAGCAAATACGAGTTGATGTTCTCCACAAATTTCAGGTGTCTGGTTGTCCTAAAAACCTGTTGATTTCTGGGGGAAGGGAAATCCTAATCCCCAGGGCTCTGTGTTTGGGAGCAACTGGGAGGGCTCAGCCTGGAGAAAGGGAGGCTCAGGGGGGACCTTCTGGCTCTGCAATCCCTGACAGGAGCGGGGAGCTGGGGGGGTTCAGGCTCTGCTCCCAGGGAACAGGGACAGGAGGAGAGGGAACTGCCTCCAGCTGTGCCAGGACAGGTTTAGGTTGGATGTTGGGAAAATTCCTTCACTAAAAATACTGTCGAGCCCTGGCAGGGGTGGAGTCTCCAATGCCTGGAGGGATTTAACAGCCCTGTGGATGTGGCACTTGGGGACACGGGTCAGTGGTGGCCTTGGCACTGCTGGGGAAGGGTTGGACTCGATGGTCTTGGAGGGCTCTTCCAACCTTTACAACTCCATAATTTATGATCCTCAGTGGGCCCCGAGCGGAGAAATCCTCCCTGTGTCCACCAAGGGGGCTGGGCTGCTGCTCTTGGGGGTCCTCCTGGTCCCTTCCTCGCACATTTCCTGGGATCAAGTTCACAACTGCCATCCACAACTGTGTGTAGCATCACCAAGGATTCAAGGGGCATTTTTTCCCCCCCCTTAACAACCTCTGTCACCCAAAGGGAACCTCCAGCTATCCTTAAAATGTTACGCTTCATAATTTGTTTTGGCCTGAGCTTTGGAAGAATTACTGACCAACCAACCCCTTATGAACAAAAAAAGAAATTACTTTGATTTAAAGAGGTGAATCTTCCCATTTCCTGGTATCCCTGTGTATTTGTGGAGAAAGGGTCACCTGCATGCAGATTTCTCCTACATGACACATTTTCTTTCACAGAACGATTTCATTCAGGATCCTGCTGCATGTAGGGGCAAACTTTGACCAGTTTCCTTCACAGGAATTCAAATATATATAATGTTAAGAATGTTATAATACTAAAATAATATATCATAATTAAAATTACAAAGTAACTTCTATTAAGTTATTAATCATATTATTTATAGATATATTTAAATTTAATTATTAATAACACTATATATCAATTTATTATCAATATATTAACAGAACATTATCATTAAAATAATTTATTATAATTAAATTTAGACAATAAAATTATTATATATAAAATATAAAATTTATATCAAAATTATTATTACGAATTTTGACCATTAATAATAATTTATAAATAAAATAATAGAAAAATAAATACACCTATAATAGCTATGAAACGTGCTGCCAGTGACTGAGCAGAGATGGGAGGCAAACCCATCCTGGCAGCACAGCCCCTGTGTGGCGGCACAGGGCACTCAGCTTCCAGAGATCCTGTTTTCTGCACAGTTCCAAACCTTTCCAGAACCCCTGAAAATGAACAACGGAACGACAAAATCAACTCCAGACCAGCAAAAACCAGGACAGACCTTCCTGAGTGCCAGGGCTGGACTGGGCCAACTGGTACACAATAAAATATTCTGCACACAGCCCTCGGCCTTGGTGGCTGCAAAACATCCAGCGCTTCTTATCAAAAGGTGCCAGAGGGCGTGTTTGGGTCCCACAGGCGCGTTTGGGAGGAGGATGGCAGAAGAATGATGATGTTTTTATTGTTGCCCGATGAAACAGTGTCCTGAGGAGCTGTTACACTCCCCAGGGCTTCGGCCAAGCTTCATTTTGTGTGTTTGTCTGGATCGACGCGCAGGGAGAAACCCTTTCCTTCTCACTCAGCGCTTTGTCCCTCATTCACTCCTTTTCCCCCCCTCGCTCCCCCCTTACCCCTTTTCCCCTCACTCACCCC